TACCCGGAATTCCGACAGGCGAAATATGGTGTACACAATGCACATGCACACATGTGTACGGTACCGCTTCTAGTACGGAACAGTACTTTCGGGCAAGTACCGTACCTCGGGAACCGGCTGCCGGCGGGGCACGTCAAAGATCTTGTGACTCACATTTAAATAATAGGCAAACCGGATGACCCGTGTGAGCTTTGCCGCCCGGCAAGCCGAACATCGCTATTATTAAAAGGTACGTGTAATGTAAGTAGTTGCTTTTCCAAACGGTGCCCGAGTTAATACCGTACGGTATGTACAGTATGTCGAAGTCTGGACTTCGAAGCAGGGTTTCCCACACATTGCGCCGGCAAGAGAACCTGGACCTGGCCGGCCGAGAGAGGACCCCGGCCGGTGCCGAAGGCACCCGGCCCGCCGGCTGGTTGGCTGGCAGAAAAGGCATGCAGGCGATTGCTGGGCTTTGCCGGCCGGAAAAGCAAACTGCCGCGCCGACGACCGAGCAGACAGAATCGGGGGGGTGCCGGCAGCCAGCCGGCCGGGACAAAAGTCCGTGGGCAGTTCAAAGTTCGAAGGCGATATTACGAAGTCAAAGGCACTCGCAAATTGCAATGCCACGTGGCATCATTTAGAATCGGAGTCGGACGGTCGCGGAGCTTCCCGAATCCCGGACTGGGACTCTCGCAGACTCTTGCCTGTGCACAATATGCAAACCTCCGACGGCGTACGGAAAACGTCGGCCTCCGGCCCTCGACTTCCGTGATCCGTCCGATTCTTACCGATGTTTAAAATGATTCTATCAACGGCAGCACATCAAAGTTTGGCACTGTCAATGACAGCAATTGTTGGCCAGAAGCACAGGATCGACGGCCCAGAATAAAATGCGACCCAATATGTGCACTGTAGCACCTAACATGTACGCAGTTTCATACCCCTTCGATCCATGCACTGCCCACTAGCTTTCGGCGGGAGTTGCGAGAGCTTTCGGTGACCGGCAAATCATCACCAGTACACCTAACACTCGAGGCTAGCTTTACAGGGGAAGTCTGTGACCACCCATTGATCGGTCTTGTACCCAATATTGTGACTACCGCGTATTCGGCTTCCATGTGTGGGAACAGGGCACTTTATATATAGTCCAGATTGAGTTGAAAGAAAGTGCAATCAACAGTTGGATATCTAGTTCAGTACCGCACGTACCACTCCGTCGGCCGGTTTGCCGGAGAGTCGTGTGCGCCGAGACGCACTCGGATCAGCTCGAACGCGAAAGCAGGAGTTGAATCGGAAGAGATGAGCTGAGCGGTGCCGCCAACCACGTTGACAATCACCGCTCCATTTGCAGCAACAGTACTGTAACGAACTTCCAAGAAAGTCTTGCTGATCGAACAGAGCGCTACTGAGGGGCGCCCCATTCCCAACCAGCATCTTTGGGGAGTTCACGCAGCTCTTGAGCTGGCTTTGTGCGCATACAGAACCTGTTCCCGTCCTTAGCTTATTCGCAGCCATGAAGGGTGGAGGGTCTGGCATGTTCCGCAGCATGGCATGGACTTTGGTCATCGTGCTTATTTTGCTCGCCTCGCAAGCGCTCTTTTCGCTCTTCATTTGGGTGTCCATTCCCCTCACTCAAGAGCTCCAGGTCGCCGCGAGCTGCAACTGCGCGACGCAACGCCGCGTGTCCCAGAACTTTGAGGGAATCGCGCTGCAAGAGATCGTCGATCTTTGGCCGCATGTGCTGCGCCTGCCGGGAAGGGTTTTGGTGAGCGCCAGACCTGCTGTGCCGGCGTATCCGCATGCAATCAAGAGAATGTGCGTCATTGGAGAGAGGCACAGCGGGACAGAGTGGCTGGAGGAAGAACTAGGCGCGGAGTTTCAGGGCGGCGAGCCGCACCGGTCGGGCATGGCCTTTGAGAACTGTCACCGGCACAAGCACTGGTTCCATTACCCAGGAATGCTGGAGCCCTTAGTAGAGGTGGGTTCTCTGTTCTTGCCTCTTAGTATATCGTTCTGCTTTTCTGTTTGCAGTTTGGAATCCTTCACATCTGAACATGGTTCTTGTGATTGAGCTTGACTTATAGAGAGGTCTTCCTAATGTCCCTCTTGATCACGCTCACTATTTTTACTAACTTCCCTGTGCTTCGATCAAGAATGCAGCCTGCTCAAAGAGAACGAGAGCAGTCTTTCGAAGAGAGCTCTTACCGGTTGCAGACTCTTAACAGTCATACCTCAGCTCCAATCAGGGGGTCTGACAATCACGATTTGCAATCGCAGTCACTCGCTGCCTAAGCACAGCCCAAGCATTTTGTGCAGCTACCACAGTCTGGTACGTTTGAAGTCATGTCTGTACTCTTTTATTTGTGCGGAAACCTGACTTTTTGCTTGCACATGATTCTTCAGTCAGAGGCCAGCTGACACTTGGAGCTCCAAAACGGCCTATGTCCTGCTCATGCTGCTACCACTCCATCCTTCATACAGATGAACTTATCTTGGGTGCTCTGATCTTGCTCAGATGTGAATAAACTACTGAGCATTTCAAAGCACTGCGTCAACTATCACAGCCAGGCACTTTGGCTTGTCTGAGCCTAGAAGCTGCCAGAGCGCCACGTGACAGCTTCAACAGACACGCCCTGTACCTTTGTGGTCGAACACAAAAGTGTCACTGGGCTTAAGTGCAGTATATGACCTTGCACTCGACCAGATCAAGGATCCCGCCACGTGTCAGCTCTTACAGGACGGTGACCTGATATTCATGGTCGTGCACAGCGCCGGAAATTGCCTCCATGAAAATGGCGAGAAAATCAATTTTCAGAAAAATTTGCCCCCCTGAACGCCACCTGTCGCTCTGTACCTTCTTTCAGGATGGCCACCTGATCAATGTGTCATGCGCAACGCCGTCGATTGGCTCCTCAACATGGCTAAGAGCCGCTTCATGCCAAGGAGACCCTAGAATCCTGCTGACGCCACGTGTCAATCTCTTACAGATGGCGACCTGATCTTTGTGGTCGTGCGCAACGCCGTGGATTGGCTCCTCAACACGGCTAAGCGCCGCATCATGCCAAGGAGACACTGGAATCCTGCTGACGCCACGTGTCAATCTCTTACAGGACGGCGACCTAATTTTCGTGGTCGTGCGCAACGCCGTCGATTGGCTCCTCAACATGGCCCAAGAGCCGCACCACGCTTACAGCCATGCGGATCTGCCCTTCGAAGAATTCCTTACTCGGCCGTGGGTCCCTGACAAAAGGACGGACGTTTGCACCCCCGATCAGGAGCGATACCTTTCCACGCCCTACTACGAAACATACTCGCCTGCGTTTGGGGGCCCGTATCCTGCCGTAAGTTTCCGTTTCCCAACCCGTTCCTTTCTGTTTGTTTCCGTGCCTATACGGGTTTCGGATACAAAGCTTTTGCTGCTATATGACTGCTAACGACGGGCGTATGTCTCCACAGTCTGTTGACAAATCTCTTTGATGGGATTCGAGTGAGATTTCTCTGAAATGCGTTCTTCACAGCCTGAGGGCCTGACAAAGATGCACCAAGGAGACAAAAATCATCGTCCAAGTCCTCTCAGCAAATGATTTGCCATAACGCCCTCAGCACTACAACTTTCTCCATTCTCCAAGGAACCTCAAACTCAGCAACGGAATGCAGCTGTGATGGGTTCCGTCAATTGAGTCACGTTCACTTCTTTGAATCTTGTGGGCGCATGAACAAGACGAGCGTAATCCAGGCTTCATTGTGAGCGTACGGCTCTCCGACGACTCTCGTTTAACAAATATTGGCCATCGTGCACTTATCCACACCACTCTTTTTGCTTCGGTCCTGTTTCTTTGCGACAGACCGCCAGTCCACTTCAAAAAACTTGACGCACGAAGTGAGATAGCGTTTGCTTTCTGCAGGGCCCTGTCAAAGATGTGATGCAGCTGCGAGCGATGAAGCTCGACAACTTTCTGCGGCTGCAGCAGTGGGTGCCGAACGCTCAGGACCGCGTTATCTTCGTCAGGTAAACACCTTGCTCGGGCAAAAGGTCATCATTGGAGATTTGATTTCCATTCGTCTCGGCACGAGATCCTGTTTTGTAAGCGGCACTCAAAGTTTTCCTTTGTTGGAAAGGATTCGTAGAAAGAAGGTCGTAGAACGAAGAAAGAAAGAAGGATAAGGAAAGGACGAAAGTAAAACGAAGAAAACGAAAGAACTAATGACCACTGGCAGGAAGAAATAGAAAGAAAGATGGAAGGAAGGTTGAAAGACGAACGAAGATTCTGGGATAATGTCATGGCCTTCATAGTAATAACGGATTGCTGGGCTGTCCGCTCCTCCAACACGGCTGAAGCACAGCGTGAGACTGCTCCTTCTTTCTTTTAAGCAAGACCTAACGCTGATGAATACCAACTGCCGTTCGGTGTTTGCAGGTACGAAGATATGATCGATCGGGAGGGTCAGGGGCTTCAGGACCTGATCAACGAAGTGAAGTCTCGCTTTGAGATCGACGGCCTCTGTCGCCCGGAAAAGGTCGTAGATAGGAGAAAGAAAGAGGCACCACGTCAGCGAACCGCTGGGGTTGATCTTGCGCAGGTAAGCCGTCCGTTCCGTTCCGTTCCCTTCCCTTCCGTTCCGCTCAATTGTTGCATGGGTGCATCTCTTTACGCTAGTGGCTTTTCACATGATTCACTGGTAAGAAGACAGAAGGGTGTCTCTCTGCCGGACGCCCTTCAGCAATCAATCTAGACGTTGCTGATTCTAGATATTGATGAACTTGCAAAGGCGAATTGCAGAGGTCGTATCGAGCACTCCCGCCTCTTCGCTGAACAGTCGAGGAGATTGGGTTCCATCCTCAATCCTTTGATAATCATTGAAATGTTCTTGAATAACCTGATCTGGGAGACTGATCCCAATTTCCTTTTCTTTGTAATACTCTTGTTGGAAATGCAGGTGTGTTCTTCTGTGTCGTTAACTTCCGGGCTGAGGGTGATGAGCAAAGTGTAATTAGTTTATAGCCTTCCCCGTCTTTTGTGATTCTTGGCCCTTGAGCACCGACGTAAAGCCTCCGCCCACAAGGACAAAATACGCAAAGAATCTAACCCCTTGTTTCTCCGAAGTAAAAATCTGACAGAGAGGTTCAAACCCACGTCAAACCGATTTCCAACCTGTTTCAACGCTTCTCAAGCAGCCCTACCAGTGTCGAATCTTTCAATGTGAAAAGCGTCTCAAGCCCGTCTGAAACCTCCCGTTTCAAACCTGTCTGAAACTCGTTTTCAACTCACTTGAATCAACCCCGTATAAAGCCCTGTGAAGCTTGTGTAAACCGGTCTGAAGCCCCTTCGAACCCGTATCAACCCGTTCGCAGGTCCATGATAAGCAGAACGTTGCCGGAACCAAGTTCGAGTCGGCGCAGGCGATTCGGACCTTTTTCAAGGGGACGGATTTGGAGCTGGAGAAGAAGTTGGGATACAACTACGACTATTTGCTAAGGCCCTCGACCTAGAAATACATGGAATGAAAAACGTTCAAATTTGAACGGGATGTATAATACTTCACCATAAGATTCTAGTTATAGCTGCCAACGAGCAGCAACGGTGCGATTATGTATAAGCGGTAAAATATAATACGTAAAGATACTGCAAGGAAATGACGCTGGGGGTTGAGTTATACTAGTCTCGTGGGAACCGGTCAAGAAGTGGCTGCCATCAACTCTATGCGATCAATATCTGTAGGGATTTTCGGCGTCTAGTAAATGGGCACTTTGCAAATTTGCAGTGCCAGATTAAATCTGCTCAGACCTTTGCTTGGGGGCAGCGACTGTCCGGTGAGAGTGGTGCTAATCTGACTTTGGTCGAGACGGGTTGCTACTAGTACTGGTCGAATTCATAAGTATTGGGCTACTGCGATTTCCTGGACGGTACGTCTTACAGACATTATACAGACCGCTACTGTAGTTTGTAATTTGGTATAAAAGCCATCTGACTATATCTATCAAGTTGTGTTTCCATGAAGCGTCAAATGATGGCCACGTACCAATCTCCCTGTCCTGCTGAATCAGCAACTGCGTCGCTACTAGCTAGCTCAGAAAGAAGGATCAAGACTTTTCAAGGGGTAAAGCTTGTTCTAAGGAATCGCCCTCGGGTGAACTGAAAATATGGCGGCACCCGGACAAGACGTATCTCAAAGTGGTGTCTTCGGAGGGACGAAGCAGCATGAATCCTGTGCTTCTCGAGACGTATCTTAGTTTTCTGCAACGTGCGATATGCGATGTTCTCCATGAAAGATCCGTGTCCTCGTGCCCTCCAATGATGGATGGCGGAAACTGCTCAGAGCGTCGCTTTCACCATTATTGTGGGTAGCATACGAAAGGCTCGTTTCCGTGTCCGTTTCTCCACGTCAAGTGAGCTAGCAGAGCAATAGCTCTCGGATGAATTGAATGATTGAACCCCTTTTTAACCAGCCACCGATAGGGCTTCGAAACTGGTCCTAATGTACAAGTTATTTACACTGATCTATGCAAACCATTGAAACGTAAACGGTTCGCCAAATGTTCTAAGATAGAAATTGCACACCTTTTGTGAGAGCGCGCGCCTCAGCATCCGTGCGCGTGACGCGCGCGGCGTCCGCGGCCGCGAGTGCGCGCTCGTCGGCACCAGCGTGCCGCGCAAAACGTTGGACAAGAAGACACGGAAGCTCTGCACATATGAAGACGCGGCTCACAATGATCAACCTCGTCTACCAATTCGTCAAAGCCCGGACGGATCAATGTCGAGGTGTGCTCGAGTGAAGCGGAAATGGACCGAATGAGCCATACCGGCTGTTGACGTCAATGCAAGCATGCCCCGCCGAAGCCAAGCCTCTGGTGCCAATCGCAGCAATGTTCGTTGTCGTTCATGAGTTCTCGAGCTCCAGGTGTTTGTGCGAGTACGTGTAGCACTGGAAGCGCCGGGAAAGCTCGGCCATATTGAGCACTTTACGACCTTGGAGCAGGGTACAGTCACGGTTTGGCCAAAAGCATTCACCGTCGAACTAGCATTTGAGTGCGCCACGCGGAGCATGAGGCAATGTCGAGGGGAGCATGAACAACACTGACAGCGGCCGTGATTCAGGCGAAGATAGCCAAACGGAGGTGAATGGGTGCCTTCACGAGATGGTGCTCACTTATTCCAAATATTTGGTACCAACTTTTGACGGGCTTGGAGACATGCTTTTACAACTCAGCCCCGATTAAACCAAACATGCTCGATCTTTGAAAAGTGTGGATCTGCGAATACTCGACTCGTTCCACTCCAAAGGTCTTAAAATTCTGTACAGTCAGTAAAGAGAGCTGCCAGCTGGGCACGCTTTATGTATAGCAATCCGACTACACTCAGTGTGAGTCATTCAATCACTGGCCTTGAATACAGCCGCCCATGTAGTAGTTGAGCTCACATCCCTCATGAGTCGGAGAGCCCATGCAGCTGCTATATTCTGAAAAATATTATAAGCCGTATATATACCGTACTTACAGTACTTGTCACTACCACGGTGTCATCTATTCGGCCCAGTCATGATTGCAATCATGACTGGCCTCATCATCATCATCATGGCATGCCAGCGTGGCGATCCGGAAGGACTTGCTGCGTGCAACAGTGAACATGCGTGCATGGGACATCATTGCTTGAACATGCGTGGTTGTACGGTCCTGGTTACTAGCTGGACACGAACTTACAGCGTGCAACATGGTGCGGCTCCGGTCCTATCATTGGTGTCACGTCCAATGACCAAGTACGGTAAGCCGATCTGAGTCGAGTCGCGCAGATATTGTCCTATAAAGAATTGACTTAGCCACCATATGTGGAGGCGAAGGCGGCATGCAGCGCAAGCTCTACCGGCAAAATGTGGACGCTGAACAGGGTGCAATCGATCTCACATTTGAAATGGCAACTAGCTACCCTATCGCTGGCAGCCAGGCGATCGGACGCACATGACACGTCCCTCAATTATCGGGTCGAAGCCTTAAGGCCACTGAGGGTGGTCACTTCATGCAATTGCATGAAGTGACCACCCTCAGTGGCCTAGCAAGCCTACAGCGATCGTGATGGGAATCAGACCATCTAAAGAGTTGAAGTCCACCAAAGGCGCGTTTTCGACGCGCCAGTGTGTCCGGTCCGCAACCTATACGGCTGATTTGACAATATATCAAATTCTTATCTTTCCTATATACAGCTAAACAGCCGGGTAAAGAGCATCAATGCTAAACCTTAAAAACACTTATAGGAGGATCCTACGGACTCATTTAGTACCTAACCTCAGTCTACCTGGCAGAGCGCAAGCAATCAGTCTCGTCACTAGGTTCTCACACACACCAACTCAATAGTAGAACTAAAAGTGCGAAGCCATTGCTCACTCGAGCTGTACAATCGATCCGTCTCCAGTGCTCTCCAATTGCTAGTCACAAACAGCGCGCGGCTCTACTTCGACGCCCTAAGATTATATGCAGCAATCTATGTCGGATCCGTATGTTTATCGTATTTACAAGACGACCTTCATGAAGGCCGTTATCAAACCAGGCTTTCCCGGCGTGTCAGGCTCTGACAAAGCCGTGAGCCCATTCCGTGCTCCGCTGTTCCGCTATTCCGCTGCCAGCCGCTGAACTCCGGTCCCCCACGCGCGCATGCTCCTACCGCCCACCAGCATTGGCCTGTCTTCGCTTCCTACTGGTCCGTTCTTTCCAATTACATGCTCCCGTCCGCTATCACCCTTCACTTGCAAACTTTGTTTCCCGCTAGCTTTGCAGACCTTTCTTACTGGACACCTGTCCACCCTCTTAATCTGCGATAAACCGCAATGAAAACCCTGTACACTAGATCTTCCAAACCCACTTGTGTCCGACAAACCCGGTTCCTAAAACCCGTATCTTTCTCCGAGAGCGAAATCCCATCCTCCAATCAACCCCGGCTCCTTGAACAAAAGCGTCCCGTGATGTGTCCAACCCTCCGTTTTACCCCCCCGAAAATCAGCCATTCCACCTCCTTAGGCAGAAACGTCCACTTGCAAGGATTCAAACCCCCGAAACCCTCTCCTGACCCCCCCGCCTAAACCCTCACCTAAACCCCCGCCTCCTCCTCCGGCAAAAACGTCCCGTGAAACCCGTACGGCACGCGGCGCGGCAGCACCACCCGGGCCAAAACAGGGCCCTCGAAATCCTTAGCGTCTATGACCAGCACCTCACTCTGCCGGAGGGCCTCGTCCCACACGTGCACGACCAACCACCCCTCGTCTTCGTCCCCGGGGGATCCCCCGGCGCCGGGGGATCCCCCTGGGTGCTCCGTCAGACTGGAAGCCCACTCATTCTGCGCCTGGGAGAATGCTCCGGGCGGCAGGAAATCCAGAAGGTAGCTGGGAAGCTGGTCGAGAATTTCCTCGAACCCGGCGGTACGTACCGGGCTCGCTCGGGGAACGAACGCCGCTTCTCCGCCGAGAATTCCGGGACCGAACTCGTGGGTTTGGACTGACCCGGTTTCGAAGTCGATCTTGACCAGCGCGTCGAAGAGGGGAGTGAGGGTGCAGCCGAAGTCTGTGAGAGGGGGCGGAAATAGGGGATTCAGAACCGGGCGCTGAGATGCGACCGGGGTTTGGGAGCTAGCGCCCGATGGGATCCATCTGCGTGAGTGACGTTTCTAGACGCGGAAGATGTGCATTCTGAGTCTGCGCTCTGTCTGATTAAGTATCTAGACCCGTTCCTGGTGGAAACGAGCAGACGATGCCGCCTAAGGATTCGGGTGCACAGCGACGCCAAAGGAGATGGCTTGAGGGATCCCTCTCAGGCGGAAAAAGCTCCGGTGATGATTCGTGTGGTTGCACGCTCCCCAGGCAATCGGGATAACAAGGGGTATGATCACACGGGCCGCTCCCCGAGCGACTTTCAGATAGGCTCTTTCGGAAGATCCCAGAGAGAAAGCATATTGACCGAGATCTTGGAGGGGCACAGATAATCAATCAGCCAGAAACTCCTTACAGCGCGCCAACCATTTTTAATGAAGCTCTGAAAAATGAGAGTTGCTTTTGAGGGCTATATCACAACTGCTCCGTTGATTCCTCAACGGCAAATGTGTGGAGCCCCCATTTAGAAGATCATGCGTCGCACAGGTTGCAGTGTCTTCCGCTGGTTTTCTCAACGTCAGCCTTGAGCGACTCCAGCGCAAATCGCACGCCAGGCTCCCGGACCCCAGAAAGACTAGACGAGCGAGATCCATTCACTGCAGACAACACGTAAGTGTACGGGAACGAAACTCACCAGCTCCCTGGACGATCTGATGTGACATCCAAAGAGTGAAACCTGACTTTTGAAACGTGATGGATTGAAAGAGACGACTGATCGTGCGTGACAAAAGCGTAAGAAGCGGCGACCGCCCACCTTGGCACACGCTGGAGGATGTCGCCACGAAGCGCGACATGTAGCCGTACCGGTTGTAGACGCCCTGGCGGGATAAGTTGATGACCGGGAAGTCGGCGGAAATCTGCGAAACAGGGAAGCGTAGATTCGTTATAGGGGATCTAACTTTGACTTGTGCGTTTCTGCGTAGGAAGTCGTAATCAGCGAGGGATGTTTGGTTCAGCGTGAATATAAAGGCCGAAGATTCAACGTGTAGTCAAAGAGGAAAGACGCTGCAGAGTGCAACACGGGAACGAGCAAACGACCCCTTGATGACGTCTCATATGGTCCGAAGCGCAGTGCGGCTTCGCAATATACAGTGAGCTGCATCCTGAGTTAAGGACATTTTACTTACGAGTTGTCTGTTGGGAACTTTGCCACGCAAGCTCGAAAGAAGCGAACATAGCAAAACCCGACACCCCTTGTGACCAAGTGGCTGCTGCTTGGCTGTCTAGAGGCTGGAGTATGTTTCTGAAGAATGCAGCTATCAGAGGTCTAACACCAGGGTCTCCGCGAACGCGGCGTCAGAGATGCAGCATTGAACGAGTGGGCAGCAACGCCCATCGAGAAAGAGTATCACAGCCACACGCCGCGGGCAAATATCTACAGCCGCGGCCGGCATGCGCGCTTCGGAGACTTCTCACAAACTCACGACAACCCGCTTTCTAATTTTCATTCAGGATAGGATCCAACGAGCCCATGTGAAGAGCATTTTCCGCACAACCTTTGGGGTACGGATTTCGAGGCAGACAAGAGCGTGCGAAAGTTGGACAGACTTTCAATAGAATGTAACGGCTGGTTCAGAGTCACCTCGCTGGCTTCAATTAGAATCCAACAGGGCACTAGGAATGCGCGGTGGAAAGCTCAAACCAGAACCGGCTGTCCTAGCCATAACAGAGCAAGCAATAGTGAGATCCTTTAGAGATGATTTGTCGTGTTTCTACGGGCTTGGTCCCCTCTTCACAGTATTGAACATCCGGAGAGTTGCAGATCAGGAGAAGGCTAAAGGACCACATATCATATTTATTCGGACGAGCAGATTTACGCATATGGTCAACTTATTCTTTCTTTCAAAGTGCGCACAGCAACGCCAGCACGCACCAACACGCTTGCTCTACACATACATCCATCAACAATCCGGACCGTTGTGATTGCAAGCAAAGGTCAAGCTAAAGATAGGAGATTCACGGGGACTTATTGAGCATCCCGTTCGGGCACGACGCAAGGCATGCACGTTTCAGAAGCAGGCATCTTTTATTGGCTTTGGCAGTGACACAGAAGGCTAGCTAAAATAAAAGGATAACGTCGGTTCACCATGGTGGCGTCAGCTCCCAGTACACCGCATTGGGCGAAGGTGCCCGCAAAGAGGACACGTCTTAGCCAGATTCCCATGCACAACTTATATGCTTCACCAAACGCTCAGCACTTTTCCTTTCAGATAAATTGTTAACCAAAAGCGCATCCATGATGGTAAATCACAAACTGAGCAGCATTCTAGGCTCCCAGGTGAGGCGGAGAAAACGGGTTGAGCTAGGATTGTGTCATAAAAAGAGCCTGAGGATCTGTCAGCATTCGTAGACTCTCCCAAAACTGAAGTTAGAAAAGAGAGGTACATATTCTACCAATGGAGGCGAGCAGCTAAGGTCTGCGGACAAAAGAGGCCCACCAGCTTTTGTCAAATACGGACAAGGGGGTTTTGTCATTTGGAAGCCGGTCCAGTCCACTGGCTTTGTGGAGACAAATTTTCCTGAGCGTCATGTCCAGTTTGGTAAAGACACACCTCATATCTTTCTCTCCAACTGGAAGTCTACCGTAATCTTATTTCGACTTCAACTCCAGACAAGGTGGCCAGACAACGCATGGCATAGTACTATCTATAGGAATGCAAACAGAAAAGTGGCCTTCAGATTACAGACAGATTATAACTGGCGAGGGCGCCACAAGGTGAACATCAAAGCCTTCAGATTCTGCATACACAAAACCAGACAAGTAGCCGCGAAGGCCTCAAGTCAATACAAAGACAATTCTTACGCGCACGCGCACGTGTTCTTATTCTTATGTTCTTATGTTCTTATTCTTATTCTTATTCTTATCTTATTCTTATTCTTATTCTTAAGAGCACGTTGTAAGATTTGGCACGAATAAATGTCTGTTTAGTCAGTTCTAAACAACTTGCTACCGCGCCTTTTCAATTTTGTCAAGAGCGAAAACGACCTGAAATGGCTGAGAAAAGCGCCCACGTTTTGAACGAGCACGAAACATCAGGAAAACCTCAAAGGCACAGCCAGCACCTTTTCGATCCTCACAGCAGCAGTTTTTACGTGCGAAGCTGAAGCACCTACTGCTAAGAATGGCACACGGTATTTCCGCTGCGGCGGCAAGACTGGGGTGCCAACACCGGAGACCTCACATTGCAGCAAGGGAAGATCTTAGCATCGGGTCAGAAAGGGAAGGACCTCGCCAACCGGCGTTAATGGGCACATGTGCCCATTTGATTGAGAGCATCAAAGTCACGCTTGAACATACATTGCTGCCGGGCATTCAGTACTCGGCAGACTCCGATGTGAGACGCACTCATTCCCAACCAATCGCAAACGACACGGTAGAGACAAGCCTCTCAGACTCGTCCAAAAAACAGCGGACATTAGCACTAGCTGCGGGAAGGTTTGAGGAGAACACGCCTTCCTCGAATGGTGATTTCATGAAAGTACCCTTAGACCCGAAGGGGCTTGTACCCGGTCACGCTGAATGGCCAGTGCATCAGAGATTCGGAGTCAAGGACGGAGCTGACGAGCAGATAATACAAACATTGGTCAGCGCCAAATGCCCTCCATTTGAGCGCCGCACCACTCGGTTTCAGCAGAAAGAGGCCTCAAAAACGAAAAGCGAGGAGTATGCAAGAACTGCGAAACAAGAATGAGGAAAACCAGCAACCAACCAGAGTCAGAGGAGCAAAAAAGGGAACGTAGAAGCGTGAATCTGGTCCGACGAAAACGGCTGGAACGGCCCCTCAGATCCAGTCCAACGAGGCAAAGTGGCTATCCCAGCAATGCGCGCCAATCCGGAACCATCACGGCCTTTCGAAACCAAAAGCGGTTGCGCTTAGCGAACCGAGGCCGGGAAGTGCACCGATACAATCTTGAGTTACACGACTGGAAACTGGAGATCGAGAAGCCGAAAGAGATTACTGTGGGATCCGAGTGGAAGGGAGAGACATGAGGGCCCGCAGACTAAGGTTGCTTCAAGTACGGCACACCAGGGTAACGTTTTGTGCTCCACTCAATTGCGACGCGGACTTGCATCGCAGCTCACGAATTCTTACGCGACGGCGCGTGATTGCAATGGGTCTGGTCGTGTGTATGTTCTGATCGCCTTACTCAGTCTGTCAGATAGCTCTGTCAGATCTATGAAACCGGTAGGAGCGTCGGAAAAGTTCAGATTCATGAATGGCCATGTACGGCCAACATGCGTCTTTTTCAATCACAGCCGCAAGTGGTGTCAAAGGCAAGTGAATCACCAGTCACCCTTGTCCCAATTTGAAAGGGCGATAGAAGCTTTGAACAAATGGATAAAGGACGGGCTTCCAAATTAGGCTTTCGAACATTTGTCGATCTTTCCGTTTGTACCATCGGAGAACGCTGGCGCGTGTTATTGATCCGCTTTTCAAAACACCTCTGGAAAGCATTCGGCATCGATAAATTTACAAGCTCCGACAGTGGGCCATTGCCCACCTTTTGCTGATTTCATAGCCGCCTTGAGCATTTGTTTCAAAAATGGTGTTGCAGAATGGTGGTTTTCTAAGATTGCTGCATTGTTGACTGCTCGTTCTCTATCACAGCTTCGACGATAGGGTAGAACGGCGCGCTGTCAGATCACTTATGCTTTGAGACGCGCTAAGCAAATGAAAGCCGGTGTAAATGCATTATGAGCGGTAGAGCAATGAAAAGCAACTCTTCCAGAAAATATTAAGAGCAAGTCGGTTGTGGGAAGGACTTTCAAAAAGAATGCACCTACCGGTCTGAACGAGAAGGCTACAAAGATGAAATACAAGACCCTCTTGTCGAACTAGCCTGGTCACAGGGATCAGAAAACTTCGCGGCTGTAAAATTCTGACGGCGGATCTGACATCGAATCGAAGAGAGAAAAAGTGAAGCACACGCTGCCCAGTGCGTCCGCAATCAGCGCCAATCCAAAAAGGGTTGGCAAACACCCAAAGAAAGACAAAAAAATGGAAAAGAACCTCGTATCGATCTCAAAGTCCTCCTTATCGAGCACCTTGTGGGGATTCAGAACGAACAAATGCAACTCGGAAAGACAAAGCCGAAGAGACAAAGGATGTCAGGTTAGATCCAGAAGCATAATTCTGCAATCGATCACGGGTGGTTGGAGTGAACTACGTCAGCAGCCGCGCCCTTGCGCAGGTCCTATACTTACAGACGGAAACACTTTAGACGGGCCTCAGATTCAGCCAAAAGATTCAGCCAAACGAGCAGATATGGCGGCGTGCGCAAGTAGATGCTATCACGGCCCTCAAATGCCAAGAGACGGCTCACGCTCGACAGAGTATCACGTCAAAGTCAGATTGCAGGGTTAATATCCCTAACTGGGAATCTGAAAGGCCTTGCGGAAAAGGGGTAGTCCGAAAAGTTTGGAGCTTTCAACGCGGATCGAAACGGCAGGCAGTACAAGAAGGGCCGTGGCTTTGCCCTGCTTGTAAGAACGGCGCAAAACACTGCTGTGCAGCGCGGACCGACGTCAAATAAAACTGGCTGATCTGTGTTTTGAGGGCGGACTCCAAGACAGGCTCACTTTCAAGCCCACAGGGAACAATCTCCTCATTCTTCAATGGCGTTTAAAGATTGAATTCTGGCGGTAAAACGTGATTCATTATAGAGGTGATGACGGTACCCAATGCCTGTGTCAAATGAAGGGCGTCAGGAGCCTCAATCCTCCTCTGGCCGTGTACGGCCGTTTTGAGGTTTGTAGTTTCACAGCCCTCAACTCGTACGTCGACATAAGCAAGTAACAGCCGGCCGCGATCCTGCCGCTATTCTTACCGAAGGACTCTAGAGTCACCGGAGGTTTAAGATGAAGTATTCCATTCTGCCCGTGACTCTAGGAGTACCCCAAAGTGGAACGTTTGTGCATATTGGTCCCGCAAACCGGACGCGTGCTTTTGCACTGTCACATAGAGCCAAAACAGGATCGGCATCAGTACAAAGTATCGATCAATACGACACAGATGGGCTGTTGCCCATCTCTAGTTACCGCCTTCATAGCCGCTTAAACCCTGTGCTCGCTTGAAGGATTGTTGTGTATGCCGACGGCTTAGGTCATGTACGCTGCCGTTAATGGCGTTCTCGTCAGTGACGGCCAAAAGCTAAGTGAAAAAGAGGGAGCTGTCAAGAACGCTCATGCTTAGATTAGGCTGTCAAAGATCAACTTCGTGCAATTCCAACGGCAATGTCTCACTTTGAACGACGTTTTTGAGAGGTGTCGGATCTTTTCTGGCAGTGAGGAAGCAGCTCAACAGCTCAGCAGCAAGATCCAAATCTTCACTTACAATCTTGAGAACAGTCAATTCAGACGCTAACTTCGCGGCTGTCAGCCTCAGACTGAACAACGAAGGGTACTTGAGCACGAACTGCCCAATGTGACCGCATCACAGCCACAGCGCGCACTTGTCCGGATGAAAGGATTCAAAGAGTAGAAAAGTAATTCCAAACTAGCAGCTTGGAAACAAAGTCCCAGGCTTGACTTTGACACCCAGTCGCACGTCGGTGCTTCAGAATGAGACCGTCCTGATATGACAAAAGTTCGCTCAATGCTCCGGATTCAACATATCTGGTGCCAATCCGAGTATCTCGCAAGCACTGTGATCGGCAAAAGTAACATGGAGTGATGCTCTCAAAGTGATGCCAGACGTCAGGGCTTACACCAAAGCAGACTCCTAGGAACGAAGCAAGGCATTGGGCGTATGCATGGAACAGGTTCCTCATTAGCACCGCCCTGGAGCGGATTGAGGAGATAGATATATGCAGTGCAGAAAGGCAAGCTATGAGCTTGGCCAGAGCACGATCCTTGACTTTAGAAGCGGAACTTCACACTTTTGCTTTTACAGGATCCGAAAGAGTGCGAATTGTCAAGGTATCGAGCTACAATCCGTAACAATGGAACAAATTGGGCTGTGACAGCAACCGTGAGAATTTGACCTGGTATGGAAAACAATTGTGGCGTCAGGCTTACTACGATATAGAAAGATTCCTGGGCACAGGGGTGCCAGTATATCGAGCGGATCCGAGCCAACTATCCCTCTTTCTTTCTCTTTCTGATTCTGCACGGGTGTGTTTGATTCCTTAGAAGCAAATGCAAAAGCGTACTTTCCTGATGTACGCGTAGCAGAATCTAAAGGCAGCAAAAGACTGGGACTCATGGATTTGCATGCGAAGGGAGCGCCTAATCCAGGACAGACTATCTTTTCAAGTCGGCGCACGTGGTTGGTAAGAGCCGGAAAAGCTTCAACTGCGCAGACATTGCAGTGGCATCAATGGGATTTTCGAAACGTGCGTGGCAAAGTGCTTGCCGACGACCCCCTCTCGATATCAGTGCCGTCAAAAAACAATCAATATAAAAACGGGACCGCGCACCTGTTCTCTTTTTCTGGGAGACTAGTTGAAGCGGATATACCGTGCACGAGGAATTCCAAGAGAACATCCTTCTTTCAAGTTCCTTCATAGGAAGGAGAAACCGCAGAAAATTGCAAAGCCCGTTCTCCCAAGTCAGTACCCTCGATGAACGTTCTCGAGGGTCTGGGAGCAATCGTTCGCTTAAACAAACGGCGCCCGGCAATCGTGTCTTAGCCACTAATATTTCAGTTCGAAATCAAGAAGAAGAACGTTATTTGCTGCGCGACCACACTTTGACTGACTTTGTTACTTCAGAAGAAATCCAGATTTCATGACGGGATGACCAGGGTTTTGCACACCCTTCGAGGAGTCACTCTGAAGTGTGTATCGCCTATAGCCTCCGATCAACTTGCAGTCGCCCTGCCTTTGCACGGTAAAAGGATGAAGGGCTGAAATACCAGAGGCTTCTTACTATCATTATTAAACGAAAGCTGCAGGCTGCAGGGACTTCAGTGGAAGAATACCAGAAATAAAATGGCGTAGAGAGAAGCTTGATTGGTCGAGAAGGACGTGTGTTTTTGAGGTGTTTCGGCGTGCTTTTAAAGGACCCAGAAAAGAAAAACGCAGGCTAAACGGAAGATGCTCTCAGCTGGGCATCAAGAGAAAGCGAAAGAGCTTATGGGCGCTGCCCGCGAGTACCTTGCAATCACAGCCGTACAGCTGACGAGTTTAGAAAAAGCAGTCCAAATACTCCAACTCAAAAGAAAGGCAGAAGAAAATCAAACCACACAAAACGGAGCCAAGACCGGCTGTCAAACAAGAAGAGCATGAAAAGAACCAAGACAATGGAAGCCGGCTCCCGTTGCTTACGTCACTGATACGCCGCTCCTCGACGCCCCCGGTCTCCAGGTCCAGCCGGTACTCGTGCAGGTACGCGTTCTCGGGACACGTGGCAGCTCCCCCGCTGACGTCAGCGAGCCCCAGCCCGGTGAACGTGTCGTAGTGCATCGCGCGGAGGACGATCACCGGCCGTCGGACCCGCCCTTCCGCATTCGCCGAACTCTGCTCGCCGTCCGATGCGAGTCCACTCAATTCCTGACCGTCAGATAGACGGAACCCCGGTTCTTTGCCGTTGGATCCGCTGGCGCCCACATCGCCGGCTCTACAGAAAGGTTTCCCGCCGTCAGATGAGCCGGGATTCACTTCCCGACCGCCCGGTGCGCTCGCAGAAGCTTGGGCAAAAGAAAGGGCCCCGTTGAGGAAGGTGTCGCTCGAAACCAAATCGCCACCGTCAGATGAGACGGCAGCCGGTTTCCCACCGTACGATCCGGTCGCGAAAGAAGAAAGGGCCCCGTTCAGGAAAGTGTCGTCGATTCCCGTCGGTTCCTCAAAGGCGTTGAGAACGTGCAGCACCATTCCGGGGCCCACGCTGAACCAGCGCAGGTCGCGCGCGGTGCCGAAGC